TTGTATAAACCAGATTTTTCGGCGTTATGTAAGAGACTGTATGTGTGCAAAGTAACATTTAATTGCCGATTTGAAACGAAGCTAAATGTTATAGTTGTCAACAGGGTTAAACGAATATAGAAAACTAGTCGGTAAGCAGAGAGGTTTGGAGGGGTAAAGATACAGTTTGGGAGCAGGAGTCGTGGAGCACAGTCAAGATTGACAAAGAGAATTCAAATATCGCCAAATGCTCAGCAGAAATAAAATATATTACACATATATAAATCAGCTTAGCAGCTGGCTGCGTTTCAGTAAAATTGCTGCAAATGAAAAATCTAGCAAAAGCTCAATTGTTTTCCGTTACCGCGTTTTATGGCTCCCCAAATCTTCTGAACCCTTTTCCAGAGTTTAAACAATACTTAAGTCGCATTACAAAAATACATATCATTTATTAAAAATACTAAGCACATTAAATAATATTTAAAATACAATTAACAAATATTCTTTCTGGCTTTTTGTTTGATAAACAATCAACATTGATAAACCAAAAAGAAAAACCCCAATGAATTCCAGTTAATAAAATACAAAAAAACCGAATGCTATATATGCAGGCAGTTTAATGCGTAAATTAATCTCATGATTAAGAGCGAAAGGAATTTCATTTAATATATATTTAGCAAATTGTATATTTCCACACGAAGTAAAATTGTTAAAACCGCAAATTATATAGTTATGTTTATATCGCTATTATTATGCTATACAAACAAGAATATATAAAATATCTCTAAATATATATATATATATATATATATACATCTGTAAGCATTTCATGTACATTTCAGTGTAAGCGACTTGGCAAATGGACAGGAATATTTATAAAATAAAAATTTAACATTAAAGCGTTAAGACGGGAAATGGTTTTATTTAAAGGTAGTTTTTCAGAAACTTCATAGGTAAGTATATACTTTTAAATTTTGTATTTCATAGTCATATTTACTGCTTAAATATAACGTAGAGGATTAATGTATAAGAGTTTTATAAAACTTTACGACTATGGAACTTGATGATTATGATGATCCTCATTACTTATGCTTACTTTTTTTAAATATTTAATTTGAAAATTAATATAATATTAATATTATTTATTTATTTACATTTTGTATAACCTTTTACCCTTAGTTCAACTTAAAGTCCTTCTTCTTATTTCCATAGAAAATCAACTCTTTTTATGTGTGTAATTTTGGAAAGATTTGGAACCATCAAAAAAGCCCCCAAAGAGCGCATAAATTACAAAAATATATACATACCAAAAACTGGACAGTAAAAAATCAAATTAAAAGCGGCTACAAATTTGAAATAAAACAAAAAATTGCTTTCATTAAGGAAACTTTAAGTGCGGGCCAGCACGCAAAACCAAACCAACAAAGCAAAGCCAAAATTAGAAAACACAACTCGGGAAAACTCTTCAAAAAGCTCAGGCTAATAAAAAGCCCTAGCCAGTTTGACCAAGTCGGTGTGGAGTGTAGTGTGCGAGAGAGCATGTGTGTTTGTGTATTACGACTAGTTTTTATTACATTTGTTTCCAGGAATTTTCAGACATGCCAAAACAGGTGCAACCGCAGCACCATCACCGGCTTACGTGAGCGTGCTGCTTGTTTGCTCCTTTTTTTAGTGCATTTTCATGGATTTTTCTCCCGCTTTGCCTTTTTTTTCGCTAGAACCCAAATGGCGGAGTGCCATGACCCAGGGGGGTTGTCTGACAGGCATTTTGCATATAACGCATATAAATCTCAAGGTTAAAGTGTTGTAAATATGCATTTACCTCACCGGACATTGGGTAATGTTAACCAACTGACCCGAAAGTACCGAATATTTTCGATTTTAATAATGTCAAAATGCTTTTGGGGTATTAAACGTAGTGATTCCGTCTTTCATAGCCTGTTTCCTGGTTAAAAAACGTGCTTATAGGATCGATTTTTCTGCATGACAGGTACTGAAAGCATTAAAAAAGTTTCACAGAAATATTTTTTAGTATAAAGTCACTTTTTGTTATGTGCTTAATGTTTGTTGATATTAAAAGTTCAATAAGCAATCAATATTAAATATTAACGGTGAAATTGTAAGCATATTCGAAAGGATGTTGGGAAAATATTTGGTAATTTATAAAGTATACGTATTCTTTAGCATTTTTCGTTTAAGATTAAATTATGTTTTAAAGATACAGTATAAGTATAGTCTAAAAAAGTTCTTGAATTTAAAGTACATTTAAACAAATGTTGTACAACTGTTCGATAAATTATGGAGTTAATATATTCTTTGGCGCTTATCCTTGGGGAAAGTATATTGGCTCAAGTTTAAAAAGAATAATTTACTTTAAATATATAAAATAAGTATAGACTAAATGTTTCTTGATTTTATTACTTTAGAACAATCCACAATTTTATTTATATTTATATATATTAATATTTAACCTATTTTAACCATTCATAGTTAAATTTAAACTTGAATAAACTTCTTTTGATTTTATTAAATAAAATATTTTATAATTATCCTTGGACTCATTCCCCTGATATCCTTACGACATCCCCTTGACACCTTTTGCCTAATTGCCAGCCTGGTCACCATTTTTCGGCGAAATTCAATTAACAGCCAGCAATTACACAACACAAGTTTAGATACGCTTCCCGGTGCTTGCCGAACTTGTATATTAGCATAATTACGAGTATTTTGCCAAAAGGAGCAACCGGAAATCCAAGCAGTGGCGCCAGCTGTCGACGGAAAATGGCATCTGGTAAGTCTGAGCACAATTAACATTACTTAAATACACATTAAGGTTAAAGACGCGCAATTTCTTCATGTTCTGGGGCTATTTTTTAGCGCCAGGTTGTTTATCAAAGCTGCTTCGAAGCGGGTGGTGAGACCGCCGAAGGGTCCTAAAAATTGCGTGACGCACCGAAAGGAAAAGCATTTCCACACACACACAAACACAGAGCGAGGGAAAAGCGAGGAGCAGGACACAATGGCGAACAGGAAGGGCAATGAAAATAAACACAGTAATTAAGTTAATGAGCATTTTGAGATTTATTATTAATTTTTCTTTTGTGCCCTCTGCGTTGTGGTGCAAAATCATTTCGAATATTTTTCTGTGGTTATTTATTATAATTATTGGCAAGCTTTCGCTTTCATATTCGCTTTCCCTTTCGTTCAACTATTTGTGTTTCGATTTGCATTTAAAACGCTTCAAGCCGCAAAACATGCTAATCTCCATACAGCAATTCGCTTTGCAATAATTGTTTTATATTTTGTATATGTGGCTGCGTGCCCTTAATTGTTATTTAAATGCTTCTCTAAATGGTTTTAAATATTTGCAGTCAAAGTGCGATTCCTGGAGGCATTTTGTTGAAAATGGCTCTTTAATTTATGGCCACTCGTAAAAATCTCTTTCCGCATTAACATTTTGTCATTCTGCCAGCCGAGATTATGCCCTCCTCATATGAAAAGGGTCCCCCATTTAGCTGTTGTCCCCAAAACATTTTACGATTTCGTATTAAAGTTTATGGCTCCCCAAAATAAGCAACAAAAAGAAGTCATTCGAAAATTGCCCAACAATTTGTTGTTACCTAGACAAAGTGGCAGACATACGAGAATGAGTCATTCTGGCAAACAAGAGCAAAGCTCAAAAAACAGTCACAAAAAATTAACCAATAACACTAAACGAAGCTTTTTTCAATTAGTAGCTCGATAAAGCGCTAGTTAAATCCCTGATAGATATTTCAAGTCATAAATAAATGCAATTTATGGATCAATTTACCTACAATTAGAGCAAGTTTTAGTCGAGGCATAAAAACTAAGCTATGATATACTAAGTTGAAACCATCATCTGCAAGATAATGATAATGGTAATGACAAGAGGACCGATTAGGCACGTTGGCAAGTATGCACTGGGAAAATAATTAGGGTAATCAGGAAAAGTATAATAAAAGTAATAGGATAAAATATAATGCAAATAATTTATGGTTATATTGAAAGAGCACTACCGTAAAAATATGTAATATCTCATGACATCGCTTGGGATTTGGATACTTTTGCTGAAATATGATGGGATAATTTTTATAATTTCCGAAAACTTCATGCTTTATAATATGATAATAACAAAATCTTGATTAATACTCTTAGAACTAATTTTGTCCTATAGGATCTACCAAGACTCCTTTTCAATTCGTAATATAATGTTTAAAAACTTAGTTTTTAGATAGATTTTTCACATCTCATACCCGCAAAAAACAGGACAATATAATACCCTTCTCATGTTATAAGTTTATTTCAGTGTTTCAACAATTTGCCGTCCAACTATATCACTAATCACCTGAGAAACCCTGCCCACCTCCTCGCACACACAGAGAGTCACAAATAGCACAATCGCTCCCTGGGCCCCTGTCAGATAACCCACATAATCGTGTCTGACTCGCTCTCATCGTGTAAACAAAACTACAATTAATCAAAGATTTTACCAAACGGGACTTTATTACACGAGGCTTTGGTTAATTGCATAAATAAAAGTCTGATGACCGGAGTGGGTGGGTGGAAACCGAAAAAAAAGAGCTTAATTAAGCTTCAGCTCCAGCACTTGCCGACTCCCCGTGGACTTGGCAAATAAATAATAAAAACACAAATTGACACAAACGCACACAATAATGGTGAGATGGGTAATGAAACAAACACACGGCACAGCACCGGCAACCAGGAAGTGCAGTCTGTGGTTTCGGTCAGATACTGGGAAGGGGATGTGGAGGATATGGAGGAACCAGGTTATCGTTTTAAGTTTCCCTGCTGGGAACAAACAGGCAGACATTAGATGAGGCTGTTAGCATTTCTTTGGAATTGGGATCAGGCGGAACCATCCACCCATTTGAGCTGTCCATGTCGTGCCATTCTGGACAATTATAATTGCCATTATTATGTTTGTGGGAAAAATACACCGGAAAAATAGTAAGAAACTTAATAAGAAAATCTGTGACGACTTCTTGTTGATTTACTTTTTATTGGCGAAGATAAAACGATTTGGATAATGCCGCGTTTGAACAAATAAAAAACGTATTTTTTTCCTTTTACACACTTTTTGATGAGGCCCAGCAGCTAACATGCAGCTTTTCAAATTTAATCGAACGAGTCCTTAAGCCCTCCAATCCTGCAATGAACTATGTAAGTGTTTTAACAATGTTGGAATAATGCAACACTAGCGACTGCGTCCTGAATCCTTGGGATCAATGTTGGAAACCCATTGCACGGGATTAATGTAAATGTTGGAAATGGTGCCGCGCAGCGTATCGAAGCCCTGGTTGAGGGGCACCGGCTTGGCTCGCTTATCCACCTGCTTCATCCAGTTCTTCCAGGCTCCCTGGGATCGCTGCTTTCGCTCCTCCTCCAATTTTCGCTTGTTCTCCTCCAATCGGCGCTTGTTCTCCCGTTCCCGCTGTTGCTCCTTGGTCTTGATGACTTGCCATTCCTTGAGTCGCTGTCTCGTGGCCTCCGATGCCGCCTTGCGAGCTGCTCCAGGACCAGATACCGGTCCCGATCCTGATCCTGATCCTGATCCCGATCCCGATCCCGATCCCGAGCTAGAGACCGAGCTTGAGGAGTTGCCAGAGCCCGACGGGCGTAGATTTAGATGCTTCTTGCGCTCTTGCTTCTGCTGCTCCTCCTTGCGGCGGCGCCATTCCTGAAAGCGAGCCTGGGCCTCCTGTTGGCGCAGAGCGGCCTCCGCCTCGCGCTTCTCCCGCTCCTGCTTGGCGGCCAGCAGGCTCTTCTGCTTTTGGACAGCCTTGCGCGCCTTCCAGTCCTCAAAGGACTGACGCTCCTTGTTCTCTCCCAGACTCTTGTAGTACGTGGATGCGTCCGAGGTGGAGCTAGCTAGGCTCAGTGAGGGCACGATGCCGCTGCCTCCGTCGGATGGCTGAAGGGCTGAGCCGTACATGTCGGTCCAGCTGCAGGTGGACATCGATGAGTTGTCGTGCTGGCCACCACTACGTAGACTGCCGCCGCAGTTACTCAGATCGTAGGTGCGGCTGGACAGCTGGTCAGGCTCTGGCTCTCGCCTCCTCTCGCGTTTTGGGATGGATGAATGCTTGTTGTAGGTCCTCGTACTCAAATTGTCCAAGTTATCCTCCTTAAGGAAGGCTGTGGGGGCCAGGTCATCCTGCTTGTCCTCCATGGGGAAGTTCTTGTCGCTCATTGTGTCCTGATCATCCTCTTTGAAGTGAGTCCTGGCACTTATATTGTCCAAATCACTGGTATCCTCATCACGTTGCGTCAGGGTTGGCGTGAAGCTCCCGAAGGAGCACAGGCTCTGCAAATCATGGTCAGAATTCATAATAGTCTCCGTGTCAGTAGCTACTGATTCCTCCGGTTTGCCCATCACAGTCTGCTCATCCGTCAAATAATCCTCATCTAGACGGCATCGATCCAAGTGCTTTAAGACATGCAGTTGCTCTTCAAACTTCAATCTGTGTATGGCATCGTTGGCCTCCTCCTCATCCAGCTCATTGCAGAAATTTGTAATGGAATCACTATCATCGCTGTCATCGCCTGAGAGAGCATCCACTTCCAGATTGTCCACCTCGAGTTCCCCCTCAGTGTCCCCGTCACCATCATCACCATCACCCTCACCCAGACCCACTAATCTTACGGTGGGAGGTCCATAGGTGCGACTCGTGTAGCCCAGCACGGAGCCCGATGTCTCCTCATCGCTGATGTCCGACAGTGGCAGCGGACGAAGTGCATCGCCGCCCGTCACCTGGTGGCGATCCACCACTTCGCCGTCGCTGTTCCGGCGTGCTACAAAGGCCATCCCGTGCGATCTACGGAAGAGAGTAATCAGATGTGGCTATGAGCTCGGAAAGGGTGTATCTCGAGCGAGACGATATGTTGTGTTCGCCTGTCTGGAGTGAATGAGGGGGACACTGAATCAGACTAAACTGAAAGATCTAGCAGAGGCTGCTAAGAGTTGGGAACAATTATTAGAAATAATTAGAGAGTACGAAAATAACAAGATTATAGTGCGGCTGACTTGATGAACTTAGGGTAACGAAAGTTTTTCCCTTGTTGTATTAAATTAAATTGAATAACTAGTGCCTGTACTCATTTTGTTATATCATTCAACTTTAAGTAACTCTGATCAGAAAGTATATTTTACTGGTGAGTATCCATGATCAATAAGTAACTATTATCACTACTTAACTCTGAACAGTACATACATATCTATGCCCACTAACTATGTATGATCAGTTATTAACTTTGAACACTAATAAACAATGACTTGCAACTTTTGTAACACAACACATTTCTAAGACTCGGCCGGCAGCAGTCACTTCGTTCCGGGGATGTTAAAGCAAGTTGGGAATCATATGTTATGATAATTAACTATGAACAGCAAGTATCTATGAACATTGAGTAACTCTGAACAGTAAGTATCTATGACCAGTAATTATCCTTGACCAGTAAGTATCTATTCCCAGTAAGTATGTATGGATGATCAGTTATTAACTTTGAACACTAATAAACAATGACTTGCAATTTTTGTAACAACACATTTCTGATACTCGACCGGCAGAAGTCACTTGGTACCGGAGATGTTAGAACTAGGTGGGAATCATATACTTAGATGTGCGAGATGTGTTTTGGAACAAATGCTTTTTAAAGGAAACTATTGAGCTAATCTTTTATGTAATTTTACTAATATATAAGTCGGATCATGGCGAATCGGTGGACTATATATATATAAATTTCAAGAAAATGCAATTATAACTTTACCAGTTTTAAACAGATTTTCATCAAATTTTATATATAGCGATACTATTAAATCTAGAATTTGTTGTAAAATTGTATGAAAATCGGACTACTATATCATATAGCTGCCATACAAATCAGGCATTACTTTGTTGTTTTTTAACATAAATGTATATAATTTATAATGCATTCATTTATAGTGATCGAATTTTAATCTGCAAAGGAACACAAGCTTCGGCGTGCCGAAGTTATTTTCCTTTCTTGTTTGACAATATCCATAAATTGATACAATATAACAAGGCATAAGTTGGTAAATTATGTAGAAATCTAAAACGCACTGATCAGTTATTAATTCCCTGATTTTCTCTTAGTGTTCCAGATTTTTACTCAGTTAACTCGCCGAAGCGGCTGCCTCAGAGCCCGAGTTCGAGCTCGAGTTTGTGGCAAAATGAAAACATTTTAACTAATGACAAACAATTACTTAAACAACGAGTCGAACGACAGCGAGAAGGGCTCACACGAGGCGCTGGCAGAGCCAAAGGTAATTAAAACACTACACCACACACACACAAGGTCCTGGGTGTGCGGGTGTTTGGGCGTAAAGTTGCCGACTCAGAAAATCCTTCGTTGTCCTGTGTGTCCCATGTCCCGAATCCTGTGTGTGTGGGTTTGTTGAGTGTTCCTGTTTCTGCTCTCAGTCAGGTAATGAGCGGTGCTTTCGTTTTTAATGAGCCTCGACACACACACACACACCTACACACTCACTGATATGGAGCCCAGGTGTAATAAAAAAACTTATCGTTGCTGGCTTTTAGGCGCTTACGGTCGCGACGTTTGACAGACACAATGAAATGATTTTGTGAGTCGTTAATTGCTGTATCGTCGTCGGCCATCGGCCTGGCTCTCAAATTAAAAGCCACAAAACAAAAACAAACGCGAGAGAAACAATTAAGTTGGTCCTTTTTTTTGTAACAAAAAAAAAACGAGCTGCCAAATGACTTGTCAAAAAGTGGGCATGGCTGGGTGTGTGGTTTGCGTGTGTCTGCTATCATCGGTTGTGTGTGTTCTAATTCGGGATTCAGGTCAGTTAAATAATATAAAATTCTTTTAAAGCGTGTTTTAAAAATACAACAGAGAGAAATGTAAATAGTTCAATTATGTCATTATTCCAAAACCATCAAAAGAAAAACAAAAACCAATGGCTACCATTTAACAAAACCAAAAAATGGTTAACTTTAATTACTATATATTTATTTATTTCTGAGAAAAATCTCAGCTGCTGTTGGGGAACTTTAATATTGCGTGACTTTCAAGTTTATTAAGTATATAACAAAATCTGGAGTATTCACACGATGGTCTATAAAAAGACTTTGCAACTAAACAAGTATTACTTAAAGAACAAGATTAAAAAATCAATGAAATCTAGTTTCTAAAAACAAAAATAACCTATCATAGTTTAGCTTTAAAGGTAGTTTCTGCGTATATAAAACTGATTAAATTCCAGAATATAATTTAACAAAAAGTGCTATTTGATTCAACATATCCGTGACCTAAGAACACCTCAACAAGTGGTTGAGCAATTGCTCTGTGATGCGTTTTAATTACATATTTCTGGCACGCGCTAAAATAACTTTTGTTTTTTAATTATAATTATATTTGTTGCCATATTATTGGCACGAAGCGTTGGGACATTGATTATTGGACGATTGTGTTTGCTGGCCGTTGGACTTGGTTTAATTAAAAACGTGACAATTTTACCTGTGGCCAATGCGGCGAATATTTCATACGCCATGTGTGACCGCTGGGTGATTCCCCCAAAAGAGCGAGCGCGCGCGGGTTCACTTTCATACGGAAATATTTAAAAAGCGTTGTTTACATTCATAACATTTCCTGTTTCGACATTGAATGCCGTTACATTTCACTTTCGCCGGCCACAAATTTAATTAACTGCATGAATATGACGGGGACGGGCGACCGACAAGGCCACAGGGGATTGTTTTTTAATCAATGGAGCGTCAAATTGAACTGATTAATTCTGCCTGTTTGCCAAATTGAGACGATTTCTCAAAATGCATTCAGGGGAAACTCAGGGTTTTGGGAAATTAATCGAATGACAGCAATTAAATAGTCCTCTTACCCAGAATCCTAATGGTCAAACAAGGACAAATTCCGAATTCGCTAGTCCGTCCAGCGATTTCCTTGTGAGTTTTTGTCCAATAAAAATTTGTTGTTGATATTTTCGGAAATGTAAATGTGAGAATGATGTCAGTGTAAGCCAGCTACCGCTTACTGAGATCTCTGATGTTTTTACCTAATTAAAATGGTAGACAGTCGAAGTCATTGACAGTCTCTACTCTCCCCAATTTCTTGGCAGCTCACGCACAGCAGAAATTCCATTCCCCCTGTGGAAAACCCACAGCCAAATCAGATAAGTAAGTAACTCCCAGAAAACTACAGACAAATCGAAGAGGTAGAAAAATAAAACGCGACACAACCTTTTGCAGAGTCAACTTTGGGAGCCAATTTACGTAATTGACTGCTGCCCAACGAAGAAGTCTCGAGAGTTAAATACTTCACTCGACAGCCTGTGATTTTTGCTTTTCTAAATTCAGTTGCAAATCGAGGGGAAAATATATTAATTAAAGCTTTCTTTGCTTCTAAGATTGATTAAGATTTTTAAAGTCTAACAGTTAAATTAAATTTGAGCCTGTCCTTTTAAATTATTTTAATCAAATTAATTCATATATTTCTATACAATTTTATAAACAAGTTAAAGAAGGTGTTAAAACAAAAACCCCCTTCTATAGTTAATTATTAAGAGATTTCAAAAGCTAATATGTTTATTTCCATACCATTTTATTTGTATTATCCCGACACTCTCAATGTCAAAAACAGCAGCGGCAAAAGTTCTCAACTTAAGTTAGCCTCCGTCCATAGCTGGCAGGTAACTTGTCATATTTAATTAAGAACTTTTTAACAATTGCTGTTGAAATATTGCCGACGCGCGGTATCTGATCCGCAAAAGGTTTCCCTCATCTCGCTTGGCAGACAATCAACGTTTCCACCGTGCCATAAAATCTCACTTGACATAGTTGAGAGTGAATATCGGCTTAGATGGCAGACACACGGCAGACACAGTCAACCGCAGGAAACGCATGCAACTCGCAGGACCCTATAAAGGATGCCAAAGTGTAAGTGTAGGTGTAAATGTCAGAAAGATGGCGACGAGACGTTGCAGCTACTGTGTTGCCCCCCAAGCCATAATTGGTTGCGTCACTGCATAAGTCACGAGTTCGCCTCGAGTCCTTTGGCTCCCCGGCTTTGCCGTTGTTGTTGCCTTGGCAACCCAGCACACACACTTATACACACACACACTCTGTGTGCAGCAGCTGGAAAGTATGCTGCATTTAAATAAGATAAACGCAAGCGCCCACTAATTGAATTGCTGACAAGATTTCCCAAGCACCCACAAACAGAGTCAGACGAGCCAGAGCAGATTGTTGTCATCTCCTGGAATTTCGGTAATTAATAACTTAACGAAACCGGAAATGTGAAACAAGCATGAAGCATCGCATCAGGATTGGCAGGAGTAGAGCAGGTCCTCTCAGTAGCAAGTTTATCCAACTATCTGTATCAGATTGTTGCTGTCGAAACTCCAACTCACACACAGCACACTCAGACTCACACTCGGACTGTGTGTTTCAGTGGTTTAAAGTTTTTAGTGGCTGCAAGTTTGTTTGAGCCATTAGCAGTTCATGAAAGGACAAATACAAGAGGATGGGATTAGCTATAGCAAGTGTGTGAAATATATAAAAAACATTTATAAATATTTACACAAAAATACCTGAAATTGTTTAAGGTAATATTAAGTTTATGCTGATATCCTATTCTTTATAATTACTAAAGGTATATTTGAGATATAGCCCTTGTTCTCATTGTTTTCTTGAATCCAAAATATATTTTTATTCACATAAAGTTCAAAATTGAATCATTTAATACTACTTCAAAATAGGTACTATAGGGAAGCTAATATAGAAAAGTCGGTAGCCAAGTAATAATTTAACATGTTAGAATACCATTTGCTTAAAGAAAAAATATTACAAAGTTTTAAGATATAACACAAAGAAAAACTTATATATTTTGTTAAAATAAATTTAATTTATCTAAATTAAAGGTAAAATGGATTTGTAATAAAAGAAAGATTGCGATATTACCCTTTCGATCACGTTTATGTTTCCAATGTTTATATCCTTGTTACCGACTTTTCCTCCTCCACCGTCTAACCACAGGCCTTTAATCTTCTAACTGGATTCCCCTCCTCAGACTAAGCAGGATTTTTAATATTTTAAATTTCTAATATAGACAGACCTTCAGAGGGACACACACAGCGAATGAGAGTCATTGCCAGACAACAACGGAGAGGGCTGAAACCTTAACCCCCTTGGCTCACACTTTGCCTCCTTCCCCAACTTTTGAGTTGCGGAAAAAGAGAAAAATAAGGCTAAAATAAAACTGATTTCATTACCTTGATTAGTTGGTCTCTTCAAGTCTTCCCCTAGCTGTTTGTCCGTTTATTTGCTCAACTTTTTTTAGAAGCAAACACATTTTGAAATCCCATGCTGCGCTTATGGCGGAAGGAAGGGCAAGGATTGCGGATGGGGAAGGTCCTGCTGCTGAGGCCGGGCTTTTCGCCAGCAACGCTTTGCATTCGCCATTTTTGGGTTCAATGCAAACATTAACCTCATTAGCATTCCACTCTGAATGGATACGTTTGCCCGGTGGATGCTACCTACCTTTTACCTCTGCTCTCCAGCTGCCCCTTTTTTATTTTTAATGGATTAATTTTAATAGTTTAAACCGATTTGCTTGTTTTCAATTGGCCTGTAAGTGGTATTCGAGAGTATATATACTGTTTTTTGGCTAATTAAATCAAGTAGCTCAGGGGTAAAAGAGCTGATCTTTGGTGTGTAATACCACAGCTACGGCAATCCGCTTAAACGAACTGGGAAAAAGTAATGAAATGAATTTAAATATGTTCAAGCTTAATAGGACTTTCAATATTTTCTTTAGTTGAGAAAAACTTAGTTACCCTTAAACAAAATTTACTTTGGATGATGTGCATTTCTATAAACAAAATAGTATTATCAAGAAATCATTTAAGAAACATAAAAATACAATGATACAAAATTAATTAATCAAAAAAAAAACAACAAAAGAAACTAAGGACCAAGGTTTGAATGTGAAATCGATCATAACTAAGCCAAAAAATCATTGATCTTAATTTAAAAGGTTTTCGGTGCCAGATGGTACACATCATCGAAGTAGGCTCCTTCCTGATCATCCAGATGTATTGCATTGATGAGGTCGAAGGGTAATCAATATCACCACTATCACTTTACATGTAAACAGGTCGAGGGCCACGTACAGACTGAGGCCAGCGGGACGGGTGTGCCTCTATTTATAGTCCCCGAGTGAAGAGAACAGAGAAAGTGAGAGCGAGAGAGTAAGAGCTACCTCTAGAGAATGGCAGAGAGAGATGGAGCGTAATAGGCATCTCTAGAGTACTCTAAGAGGGAGAGAGACAGAGAGTCAGTAGAAAAGCATTTCCCTCTGCATTTAACGATCGTTTCTATGGCAGCTATATGATATAGTCATCTGATCAAGAATATATATACTTTATATGTACGGAAATAATTCCCTCTTAATTATAAACCCTGAAAGTGAATAAATCAAAACAAACAGAAATATTTGTAAGTTCTGAGAAATAACTATGATTACGACACTAATTCTACTAGGAACTCGCTCTACTCAAGCCTTTCTGTCAGCATCAAAACAATATCTTGCTAACAAGTTCCACTTGTAGCTTCCTGTACCGTCCTCTGCACTATTCCAGAGTTATCCAGTGGCACTTTACACCTCCACACCTCGCCATTCGTGGCAACTTTCTTGCCAGCTGGGGAGTGGAGGAGAAAGCAGCTTAATTAAGCATAATAGGGCTCTCATTTCGCCTGCAGCATTCCGACCGACAAGTTGTGCAGTTTTTTCCGCTTCCTTCTCCTAAGTAGCTGCCTGGTAATTTGTGCTTAGCCACACTCACAGACCAACACTTCGGCGGAGGGACGTAGACGTGGATCCAGGAGCATTTTAATTGCATTTCCGCTATTTCTGATGCCTTTTGAATTTATAATGCCGGCGAGAAGAACTGCTACTACTTACTACTACTCTCTGTCCGGCTCTAGTTCTTAGCCTTTGCATCTCCTGCTCCTGCTGGCCACGTCCTGAGAAAAAGAATTCAATTAATTACAAAGCGGACAGGTGCTAGGCAGCTACACTTAATATTAATCATACGCACCGTGAACTCTGACAAAAAATAATCTAGGAGGGAATAAAATGGGACTCGTAACGGGAACCGTAAAAAAAAGCAAGACCCTTGCTGACTCGCATTTGTATCTAATAAACATGTTTATTTCATTAGAGCTACACATGCGGCTATTTTATCCCGATCCGCCTCCTCCAGGGACATCATTTGCCCTAGACCCAATGATTCCGACATGAAAAATGCGTTCGCGGAAAAGAAAAAAAGGAAAAGTTGCCACGAGTCCGCTCACTTTATGATTGGGGATTTTCGGTGGCGCCACTAATGTGCCATAGCTCGCATTTCCTTTTTCGCAGCCAGCCCCAGCCCCCACCAACAGATTTCCACGCCACGTTGGCTTTTCCCACTGAGGCCCTGCTGTCGACATCATTACAAATAAATTGAGCGTGAAAGATACATTTCGCCAGCAGCAACATTGACATGCTGCAATGATAGGCACATTCGCCTCGATTCTCAAGAGGCTCGCCAAGGTGAGGCAGTGAGTTCTTGACTCAGCCTATTTGACTTTAAAATAACCTGTTTCGAGTCGGAAAAGTGTTTTTCCACAAGTGGAGGACTAACTTAGAGGTGGAAACTATTTCCTGCAAGTGAGAACTTACATGCACTTGAAATGTTAAGGAAAAATATTTGTACACTTTAAAGTTTAACCAATAACTGATTTTTAACTATACAGACTTGAACTTGTTGACCTGTATTTTGCAATAAAAATTGTGGTTTGCAAAGTCCAAGAAATAATATGTTATTTTCTGCTATTATTAAACAGATAATTAGTTTCTGCCATTAAGTTTTTGTATTATAGAATTTAAGCTTGTTTAAATAGGTTTCTGAAGGTTATTCAATATAATTTGCTTAAATAAAGAAATGTATGATTCATATTTTCTACTGTTTATTGATTCTAAAATTAGGGAAAACAGATAACTTTATTCAAGTTTAGGTTACACTTTTTTGTCATTATTTTGTACAGTGTTTCAATTTCATTTCTGATTTCAGAATACTTTTGTGTTTTGTTTTTCTTAAATACAATTTAATTTAAGCTATTAGCTAAACTTCAAAATATAAATATTTTCTAGATTTAAACTAAAAACTTTTAATTAGGAGAAAACTTATACACCTTTTAAAAATCTCCTATAAAATCTATCAACATCTCCCTAAGATGGCAAGCTCATGTAATTAGTATGTAATCAGAGCAAAAATAATTCCAAAAGACAATTTATACAGATTAAATCCATAAACCATATTTGGTGAGTGACAAATTAATTTAATTGGCTCCATGCTGGGTATAAATATCGATTTAAGTCTAAAAACCCAAACAAGCTTTCTTGCTATGATTAACCTTAAAGGAAATCAAATGCCGTAAAATGATTTAATTATATGGGATTCCCTGGGTAGAATGAAAAATTCAATATAAATTCAAATTTTACAACTCTCTTGTACTAGGCAAACGATAGAAAAATATGTATTTATCATGTATATGTATTCCATGTGCGACAATTTCAAATTGCGAATACAAAAGTCAATTTGTTGAAAGCGAAGCTGAGGAGTGAGGCTGGATGGCTGCAACAAATGTAAGCATATAAACATAACCATGAAAGATATTTGATATAATAACATACGTGACCGCATTTACAATTTTCAAATCAAATCTTAGCAGCCAGAGGCGGAGGGATCCTTCCATTGTCTGTCTAATGCCATGCATGTGAAATGAATTTAATGCCGAAAGCCGAGTGGGGTCAGGGGGCCGATGTGTCTGCTTTTGCTGCCGTGCTGTGAAATTTGTTAACATTTATGCATTATCATTTTGGCTTACGACACTTAATGATAACTGAGACATCTAGCAGAAGATTGAGGTCTAAACAGGGAGGAATGTGTCAAGGATTTCAGCCTTCGAACCAGGGGATTGTCCTTGAACATTGCATAGCCTTTGGAACATTTTAGGTAAACATTCTTTGAATTTTAGTGCAAAAATATTTACCCAAAATGGAAACCCATTTCGGTTTTGCACTCCAACTGGTTTTAATTTAAACTTAATTATTATAATGAGTTTTTTCCAATCAACCGAATTGATTGCAACTCCGTGCAAATTCAGAAAAATAATAGTAATAAAAGTAATCTAATTGAAATCCTATTGGCATGGTCATGTAAATACCACACTAGAGCAAACTTTGTGCTGCAAATAATTAACCTGAATTAAAACATAACTAAATTATACGAAATCAGTTTTAAACTTTATTCTGTATTAAATTAATAAATGTAAAGGTTGAAGAGGCATTATTTAAACCCTTCGTAAGAAAAGGCAGCAGAGTCAAGCTTATGCTTGCAGTAATTCAACAATTGCTTAGAATAGTATTTTGTGACATTAAAATGTTTTAGGTATAAAAATGAGAGAATTATCTGTGATTTGTCCTTTATAGCATTTCCTTCACAAACTTCAAGTATATATTTTCCAGTTACCTTGGACGCAAATCGTGAACATAGGAATTACCACTCGATCATTAATCGAATTCATTTTCGTTGCCACACTCAATTCATAATCTGCATGCCACAGGGAGAAATTAGTGAGATCAGTGTCTGTCCGCTGCCATAAGCCCAATTAAGTTTGCGGTTTTTGGCAATGTCATATTTTTGAATTTCCCGCGCCCAAACCTTTTTGACAGTCGCCCGAAGAGCGGTGTACGCTATGGTTTTCGTGGAAAATGTGGCATGCAGCTTGGAGCTGCGGAGGAGGCTGGCAACGTGGCGTATAATTAACAATAATGAAGTCGTAAAACCGCAATGCAATCAGCGATGCGCAAAACACACACAACAGCACGCACAGTCGCCCAAACAAACAGTTCGCAAGCCGAATAGCACACACACACAAAGGCTGAGGAAGGGGGAAAGGGTGGTTTTCAATGGGGGAGGGGAAAAGTGTGCAGGTATCCCATCCGTGCAACTGCATTCCCCAATATGCCCCACAATGCAACCACCTCGAAGTCAGGGTCACACACACATTATAAAATATTTATAAACCATTTGCACGCATAATTAGCCTGTCATTAAATTTTGAGATTTTCGGTTTCGCTGCCACACTGTGTGTGTGTGTGTTGGCTTAAATGTGCACACTCGCACACATACACACTGGGAGTGTGTGTCCATGCGCTTAAAATGATATTGATGTCAGTGCATGTCGGCCACCGAAAATTATGAACGCTGCGCGTTCGTTATGCTCTGAAAAGAAAACATGCAACATAAAATTGTCAAAAAAAAATGTCATCAACGAATATGGTAGCCTGTTTTTTGTTTGTTTAAATTGTTGTACAATGAGTAATTAGCACAGATGTTGTATTTTCAATATGGAAATATTCAGAGTTTTAGGGTAAAAAATATCTAAATATTTAGAGTCCTACTTGAAAAACGTTATATAATTTCAACACAAAGACAGTCTTAATAAAATATGCTATATTTTTATATTACTTAACAAATAAAATAGTTTCAATGACCATAAAGTATGTGTATACGTATTATAATTTCCCCAATAATTCTACATATATATTAATGAAAAGATTAATTCTTCTATATATTTTATAATCATTATACAACTAGACAGCACAAATTTAATACAATCTTTTAAATTAACAAAATATTACCAGTATTATTCATATTTTAAAGGCAATATGAATTTGATGCTAAATTCTAAAGATTTCTTCGTACTACATATCAACTTTCATCTATCAACTTACTTATCAACTTTCTATCAGAATAAAACTTAAAAAAGCTATTTTTACCATAAAATTTAGTGTTTTCAGTCATTTCTTTTTGAGAATACTTTAGCTAATTCTTGTATAAAAACTTGGCTTTAAATTTATGTCTTGAGCTTACATAGTTGTGGTAATAATTTTGCAAGGAATAACTCCAATTTAAAAGGAGAATATGTATTAATAGTCAAATAAAACTAAATTAATAAATAAATAAATAAACAACTAAACAAAGCCTGAAAATATTATTTTTGATTTAAGGATGTATTAGGAAACAATTTATATTGGAATCATATTCTAATATTATTAAACATATTCTAAAAGCTTTAAATATACAGGAGCTACAAGAAACTTCTACTAAACTCTTGATTAGTCTAAATATTTGATACTTGCATAACCAAAATATCAAATACTTCCAGCTTCCTTCTTCAGGAAGGCAATTCCAGCAGCAATAATTACACTTAAATATCTTAACAGTTTTGGTATTCCCTTGGCGTTAAGCATGCATATACAGAATATCCTTTCGACTTACTTAAATTACATTTTGATTGACTTTACAAACTGCTTCAAAAATAGCAAAGAGAAATACCAGTACCTGTATCTGTTACCTGTACATATCATGGCATAGTAATTATACCCTTTCGCCAAAGGTAGACTGTGGACAGAGTCCTCCACGGCATGGGACTTGGGTGGCTGCGGGTGTCCTGGCGAAATGTCATGTCATGTTGCGACAGGCGTCGGAGCGGCGCGTCATGAAATACGTACATACATACATCATATATATGTATGTACATGTGTACGGCCATAAAGTAATCAGCGGAAATGTCAATGAGCCGCCGCCATTTACTGATGTGTCGGCAGCTGAGGTTTACACCGAGCATCATCATCATCATCGTCATCGTCATCGTCATAGCCAAGGCAGGTGCATTCTTTATATGCCGCCAGTTGTCCGTTGTATTCGACCCGGGCATTGTAATTAAAAATTTCCGGCTGCATATGGAAGGGCGATTGGTCCTGTGGCGGGTTTAATTCGCGACTCTGTGTACAGTGACAACAAACGGTGCTACGGGGCTGAAACAACGAGCCCAGCAATTGAGGAGAAAGCAGTCAAAACTGTAGTACAAACCGACCTTCCAGTCACAGTTACAAGTTGGGGTCTTGTCAATCAAAGTTAAAAAGTTAAAAAAACTAAAAAATTATTTCGTTCACTAGTGTGTCTGGTCACCTAACAATTCCACAGGCATACACAATTTAGCAAAATAATATCGTGTCGTAAGAATGGCATTCTGCGGCTACGTTAACTCAACCGGAGATATTGTCCTGCGCGATGAGATCTTCATGGGGGATACCCGTGTCCGGCGACCCAAGTCACCCAGTAATGATCATCACCGTCGTCACCAGTCTCTCTACCCGAGCATGTCACAAGCACCAACTCTGTTAAGGACGATACCGATGTCGAGGACGAGGTCAGTGTAAAGGCGGACCGGGTTCGATCTCCTGACTGTTGGTCCCTCATGTACGGCGAGATCAAGAAGAATCACGGTGTGCCCTCATTGATTCTTGAGTCCGGTCCAAGTTCTGTGGACTATATGAGAAATATAGATTCCATGAAGGTAGGAACTCTTTGCTTCATTCATTCTTATTTAGGAGACATCTCTTTACTCGCACCTCTTTATCTATTAAGTGTATAACATTTAATAACGTATTTATAAGACCATTTAATACTTGATATATCTCTTAAAATGAGCAAATACCTACCTCATTTACTACCTATAAGTATACCTAATTAATCTTTCCACAGGATTACCGCAAACCGGATGCTGCCTATGAGAACTGGTATTCGGCCAAGCGTCGCCAGCGCCTGGAGAAGCAAAAGGTGCAGCAGCAGGAGCGGATTACGAGCAGGAGCGTGCAAAACAGCGTAAGGAGATGGCCGAGATGTGCTATGATCAATGGCTGAAGGCTAAGGATCGCCAGGCTGCTGCCAGCGGATGGAGAACATATGCAGGCGCTGCTCAAGGCCAGTCAATCGATTGCCAAGAACTCAACCCTGACTCCCGCTAGCGCAAGCGGCTCGTCCACATTAGCAGTTCCGGGCTCCATCCCCTCCGCCTACCTAATAAGACATCACGCAATGCGTCACAGGACCAAATCCGCCAGGTCGTGGAGGAGTGGTGGCTGAAAAAGAAGCAGCAACATCAGACGAAGCGCGAGGAGAAGATCCGGGCTCTCGTCTCCAAGGCTCAGGAGCAGGAGAGACGCAAGGAGCTGGCCGAACTGGCCTGGCAGCGATGGATGAGCAACGTGGATGAGAAGCCCAAGCCGGTGCCCCTCAACCAAGGCATGGACTCACTGCGTGGCAGCATTTCACCCATGTATATTAACCCCAGATCTTGGGTGGATGCCACTAAGCCTTCACAGATGTAGTGAGGCATGCCACTCTCATATTTTGTGTCCCGTTTTCCTCATGTATCTTGGATTGAAATTGTACGAAAATTATTTATAGTATAACCCTGATGCGAGGATTATTCTATTTGAATAAAATCAGAGTTGAAACATTTAAATGCATTCTTGCTTTAAGAAACATTCCCCTCAAACGCTCTCCTTTATTTTCTGCGATGAAAACAATCTGCTGTGAATCGCTAGCTAGCAAATAAAATTGTACAACATTATCTTTAAGCAATTCAAAAGTCAATTTATACAATTGCGACAACACAAGAGTTTAACCAATTTTGTAAACCAATACGATAAGAAGGGCAAGGGCGGCGACCAAGAGGGCACTAACGATAGCAAATAACAATTTGCAGCCAAAACACAAAAGAAAAAGAGGTAAGCAAAAATCGAAACTAAAACAACAGGGGACGACAGGACACTCAATAAGATTTCAATTGTTGTTGGACAAGATACATTTTCCGGCTGGCAATAAGCCGAGGCAGTGGATGATGATGGCAACATGGGAAATTGGGTAAGAGCTGAGCTCTGCCCATTTTCATTAGATTTTCAACACCGGCCGACTGTTGTGTGTGTGCTATGTGTGTGTGTACTGTTTGTGTGTGTCTGTAAAGTTACAAAATTATATTGTTCCAAAATAAAATAAAGCATGTTTTCAGTTGCTTGGGATGGAAAGCCAGAGTCGCAAGGCAGCGGTATGAGGTATGGGTGCGTGGGTAACCGAAATGCAAACAAACAAAGCCAAAGGCCTAAAGTTCATTTGCACAATTTCCCTGCTCTCGGCCAGCTCGGAGCTCCCCTTGCAGCAAAGTCAAAGGCCAGCGCACGGTCCGAACAAACAAAAAGACCAAAAAGACGTTAGCAATCCTTTTGATGAGGTCAACGTTGCTCTGGTTTCTGTTCACACACACACACACACGCATGAGCCGGTATTCGCATAAAGGCTAAATGCACTGTTATTATATTTTACAATTTTTAAAAAGTATCCCTATAAACTATTGGATTTCCACAAGAAAGTACTAGAAAACTGAGCAATATTTAAAGTACCTAATGGAAACTGGAAGTAAGTATAAGCAAATCCTTATAGATTATACAAATATTATCCACAGAGTTATTTAGACTCTACTCTTTTCTTTGAATATAAAATACTTTAATTAACTAATTCTTAGCTTTGAAAATAGTATACATTTATTTAACAATGATTTGTCTTATAAAAAAGATCTTATGAATTTGCCATAATAGTCGAGACTCGAAGGTAACTAAACATTAATAAATCACAACAATTATTGAGTATTACCTGTATCTAAAGTACTTTTGATTCCTATTTAATTCTATTTTTTCCAGTGTAATTTGAGCCTGGCCCATGCTTACTTTGCTTATGTATGTATATGTGCCCGGCATGCGGGGAAATGAGCGGGAAATGGAGGTGGTCGGCAAAGGGGTAAGTGCTGTATATCGAGCATTGGCAGGATTAAATTTGGAAGGTATTGAAGCATGTTATTCGTCATCAATGTAGTTTGCACTAACTAGTTTGTGTTGCTCCTGCTGCTTTTGCTTTTGTTGTTAATATTGTTGTTGTTGTTGTTGGGGTGTTGTTTGTCTACAAGTTGCTGCTGCTGCTGCTGCTGGTCGTTGCAAGTGGCTATATTGTTGGCATCGCACGGCAACTTGTCCAGTGAGTGGAGAATCCAGTCCCGAGCTTAGAGTCAAGTCGCTTCCAGGTTGTTTGCATTGTTTACGCACTTTCGCTTTGATATTATTGTAGTGTGCATTTCGGCTTGATGACCTGATGACATGACCAAGGTAATGGCCAGATGGGCAACCGCCTAGGCAGGACCACAGGAAACCCACCCCATCTAGTCACTAGGTGGACATGGATGAAGCATTGATTGGAAAACGTGGACATGTGAGTGTACATTTTGCAGGAATCGAATTTAAGCCAAGATATAGTGATCTACTATAAATCTTTCTCCTTGGAAGGATATTCTCGCGAACTTTTAATTCAATATAAATAAGAATCCTCTTCTAACCTTCATTTATTTTTTCTTCTACTTCTTCATACTTTAGTTTTTCACTGGCAATTGTTTCAGCCTCGAACATCACTCATCATCACCTGCTCAGTCGTTGGAGGCAGCAAGAAAACCCTTCATCTCTGCACAGCCCAGTTATTGATCACACGACATCACTTTGATAAATATCTGGACCATTGTCTGAGCACAAAACCCCGACACCACCAACTGTGCTGACCCCTGGCAGCTCCAGTATTCCTTTAGTTTTGCACCTGCCTTTGTCGAGGACTCAATGGTCGAAAGGACCTGGCTCCCCCTTTTGGCCATGGCATTATTTATGGGCACAGCAAGCGGCCTGGAGGCGGGCAAACTCATTGTTTTACCACTAAACATGTGGCGATATATCTTTTTTCTTGTATTGCACTGAACAAGGGGTTTATCTATGGGCTGGCAATTTTTTTTTTGTTAGACAGCCACACGATTGTGAAAGATTGCGCTTTCTTATGCAAAAATGGTCACAGGGGGCAGCTCAATCCATTTAAGGTTAGGAGTTCTTAAAGGCTCATTGAGGGAACATTTTTAGATGAAAACAAGGAGTAAATAAATTTATAGTTAAAGTAAAGTATAGTAAGACTTTTATCTAAAACGGAAGTCCAATAGTTATTTTTAAATCATCGTTTGCTTCTTTAATTTTGTATTTACTTGTTTAATTTTAACCACTTTAGCCTCTGATATATATCTGAAAATCGATGTATTCCTTAACTTTAAATATCCTTTGAATCAACATTTCCAGATCAAACTGTGGAAGAAATTATCCGCCAATTGTCGATTCAATCATTAAAAAAATAAAGAAGATCTACCCTGGTTGGTTAGTTCCATTTGCACGCAGTGAATTTTAAATCAACAATTAATTAAGAGCAAATTGAAATTCATGACTGGCGCTAATCAGGCCCACATTTACATGAAACCAATAGCCAGAGTCTGAGGAAAAAAACTATTAAAGTGCAGAAGGACAGAAAAAAACAGGAAAATTATGTCAGCAATTAGGCAAACTATGACACTCGACAGAGACGCACAGCGTGGAGGTGAGCGAGAGAGAGAGACCGAGTGTCCAAAGGACGAAGGACGAGTGGCACGTTGGATTTGAACGGAGCCAGCGACTGTGGGCATCATTAAAAAGTCATTTACATGCAGGCTGGGCAGCGTCGCAGGACATTTAGCAGGACGAGGTGATGGCGAAGGGAACCGGCTAACTCAGAGCTCATAGCCGTGGCCCGATGACTCCGGCAGTTTGTTAATTTTAGATTTGAGACACGTCTCCAACTCAATTTTATCGCATGTTACGCCTTGCTGCCTTTTCGCTTTATGCGCCCAATGTCGACGTCGACAGGCTGCGGACATTTCCCAGCGACTTTCCACCCACCTCCTTCCTCCTCGTGAATTTTGATTTCGAGTGTCGCCCTCGTTTGACGTCGCCATCGTCATCATTTCCATGCAAGGGCATGGTCCAATTAGGGGGCAAGGTGTAATTTATGCGCCTCAAGAACCTTGCTACAAATTGGCCATTGTTGCCACTGCATTGATAGCTGCTGGCCCAGAAACCAACCAACCATTGGCCACCTCCAAATTCCAAGTACAAGTCCCACACTCTCTGGCTCACATGCTGCGAAAAAGTTCTGCAAAAGCAAAACTTTTAATATAATTTTCCCATAATATTTCCTCGGGCTGAGCAAAAACTTTGGGTTTTTTTTTTGCACTAGGCCTGGACCAAAACGCTTGGCTGACCGCACACATGGGAATTTCGACAGGTGCTTCGCTGGAAACTCATAAAGCTAATTAAGAAATATGCCAAAGTTGCTCCGTTGGCGCTTACTTCTGGCCCAACTCTATCCTTGAGAACGAGGTTAACTTATTTAGATCCGGCCAACAAAATGCAAATTTATGGTTGGTTGTCCAGTTTGTTTTAATTCAATCAAGTACTTGAACTTTTATAATTAGGCCTTCATGCTGAGAAATTGCGTTCATGCGAAAGAAGGTAAGTCTGATGAAGCATTTGATGAGCTTATCGATTTGTGGAATCTGTACATATTTATTATTTTCTTGGGAAATTAAAATTTATACTCAATACCTACAAAATATTTATATAATCCATTTTATGGGAAAGAAAATGTTGCTAAGATATTTGCATTGCATTTTCCAATACTTACTAGGTATAACCAAACTATTGATAAATCTATTTATCTATTTGACAAAATCAAATCAGTATTTTAACGATGTCTTTGATAAATATTCAAATCAATATTGTGGTCAATAAAAGGTATTTTCCGATATATTTTTGAACTTTTATACTAAACTAACTGAGTTAAAGGAGCTTAGTATCTTTTGTATAACTTCAAAAACTGCGTGTAGTTATTTCCTAATCAAAACAACATATTAAAACAAAGATACAATGTATACTATATCCATTCATAATTGTAAATCTTTCAAGGTGACTCTAATTACTTACAAAATAAATTCAAAAGTTATACCCAAGTAGTTCATAGTTCTCAGTCTTGAGATGTTAAATCAGCAACAATTGCCAAGGAGGTATAAACACTTCTTAGATAACAGTTTTGCATATTTACTTATGCAACAAGAAAATCTAACCGGGCAGCCCAACTTTTTCCATGGTATGGAAAAATCTTTATTTAATCAAGCATAGTTTAAAAGTTCCGAGAACAAAAACTTTTGGCCCTGGCAATTGTTTTGCACAAAATGTCTTTTGACGTTTTTGTTTAGCTCTGCCGACATGAGATGCGAATATTTGTCGCAATCAAATAAAAACTTTCTTTCCGGTATAATAAAAAAAAAAAAAAGAAAAGGGAAGGAAGTGTGGAATTCCCAGAGGAAATCTTATGCACAGAGCCTGCCTAGCTACTTTGGGTTGAAAAATCTAATAACTGTTAAATCACCTGCAAAATGTTCATTTCACAGCGCAATAAACACGAATCGGGCCTCGTCCTTGCCCCGGTCGACCCCTTGTCGACTTAAACACTTACAAGGACTTAACCACCTTTTGTTATTTTGCCTGCGTAGCCCTGTCTGTCACTTTAATCTGCCTGCCACACGCAGCAAGGAGCCTTCTCTGCCTCCATGCAGCACAATCCTGTGAAGGACACTCACATGTGTAAAAGTTTGCATGCCTGGCAAGGTTTGCAAAGTTATTAACACGCGGCTCCGACTTAAATAAGTCATATTCTAGACGTCTTTCGGGCTCACCACCATACTGACTGACTTCTTGTCTCGGCTTTTTGTGAGAGGGGAAGAGTCCCGTCTATGGATTAATTGTAGGACTTGCCTGAAAGTGAAAGCCAAGCACCGCAAAAGTTTGCCACTTTAATGGCATTGGCCCAATCTTTGGCCAAGACGCTTGCGGGATTTTAACTTCTTAGCTTAAGGTATTTTGATTTATCTAATTGCGAAAAAATGAGGAGAACTGAATTGTTGTTAGAAGATAATGAAAATCCATACATTATTCTAATTGATTAGCCTTTGGCTGAAATATAAATGTTCTTTCATGTTTATGAGCATTTATCATAAACATTAATTTGGTAATAAGAGACGTATATGATTTGATTGTAATGTTTGTAATTTATTTAGCATTTAACCTTGCTAAGGTGTCAAACTAAATACTAATCAATTAAATTTCAATTTATTCATTTCATTATAGTTTTCAATTTAATATATTGATTTTATTCTTAGATATCCTAGAACTATTATTTTTGGCCAACCCTTAAGTGCTGCTTTTCATTTTTGGAAAACCAACATTTATTTACCTTTTACCTCCATTTCAATCCAAATGCTTTCCACAAAACTATGCGTTCAAATGACTTTTAGCGTAGGGCAATAATTTTGATTTCATCAATGGAAATTTGTGTAATACATCTAAAACTAATGGAATTTCATGTTTCGAGGGCTTTCTCCTCGCGGGAAAAAGGACTTCCATTGCGTCTGCTGTCGATAAAGGTAAATCGTGTTGCAGACGTCGTGCGACTTGTTTGTAAATTATAAAATAATGTCGGTTGCATTGCCAACGATGTCTGCCTGCTTTTGCTTTTGCTTTTACTTCAGCTTTGCTGTTGCTATTGCTGCTGCCGCTTTTCCGGCTTTTCCGCCTTTGTTTTTGCATGTGGTTACGTGGAAAAGTGGCGGCACAGCGTGGCAATTTTTATGCCCCGCTCGGCTAAGTGGCACATTTTTGGCTTAGCTTTTAGACATTGCGACAGGAGGACACTGAGCTCTGACAGTGCAAGTCTTGATATTTTTTAGGGAGAGAAATTAGTTTAAACTATATACGTATTACTGAACTGTAGGTTTCTAAAATTAATAAAATATGCATTGTTCTTTATAGAATTTTATTAGTTATAAACTGAAACCCCTTTGAATTTCCGCCTCTGTCTTTGCAACCAATGTGGCGAGACTTTTGGCTATATGGCGGATCGGCTGAATGGCAGTATGGCCGCTTGCATGTCTACACCGCCATCGCACTCGACTGTCGGGCCTGTCAAATAACTGACATTACCTGTACCCCCGATACCGGGGAACCCCCGAAACCCGTTCACCGCCCCACTGATGAACCGCTGCACCACCGCAGACGACGCCGCGTTGTCGTCGTCATCGTTGCAGCGTCGCACACATTTCGTGACTGTGAACAATAAAAAATTTCGATTAGAATGTAAAAGCAACAACCGGCCGTGCAACTTCAACTGCAACTGCAGGGGCAACCTCAACGGCAACGGCAATCAAATTGTGCGAGGCCCAATCGACGGGCAAGAGGTAGGTTGGTGGTGGGAGCGGCTCAAACATATAATGGCTAAGAGAGGGGAGGGGAAAAAAAACTAAGCTAAATTGTATATTAATAGAAAATGAAATCTAAAATGGTATTCAGCGCAAAACGTACGCTTGCCGAATTTATTCCGGCCAAAGTCTCTTTATTACATTGATTTGCAAGGTTCTTTTTGGTAAAATTAGAAGGACATGCCTATTAAATAATCTAGAACGACATTGGTAGCTTTTGTAGCTTAAGAGAGAAATATGTGTGGTGTGTAATTTAAAAGCTAACCAGTATTTATGGTTAGCCTTCTACTAAATATTTAAGTAAATAAGTAAATTAATCTGTTTATATTGTATTTAAGTTCTCCCTTTTCTTAGTGTCCATTGACTTACTCCATGTTCTAAGTCTTGGTATCTCTGTTATCCCATTAGTTTATTTTAAGAAAACATAAAGGAACAAGCTAAGAAATTTAAATACAATTTCAAGTACATATGAGGAGGACGACCTAGAAATATTACGTATACGTAAAAACTTATTTATTTATTTTCAAAGAATTAAACATGGGATATTCTTAGATATTTTTTGTATTCTTAAAGTATATGATAAATAATCATAGAACTGAAAATAAACACCATATTCCAATAACTTGATCGTGACCTTATTTGTTCCTAATGTCAAAATTACAAAACTATGTTCATTATTTGCTAATAACACATACAAGCCGAAACACTTCCCATAAACTAGAGATTTGTGTTGATTAAACGACTAAATAGTGTTCCATATATCGTCTGCGTTAGACGACGTATTGAAGTTCTAATTGGGTATAAACAGAGGTAAGCACAAACTTAACCCTAAAAGATAGGAAGATGTCTAAACAGAAGCATCCTTTAGAAAAGAGCAGCTCTTAAAAATGGCATTTCTGGGTCACATTGACTGCGAAGGAACCATGATCAGTCGTGAGCTTTTCTGCAGCGGTGGGTCCAAGAACCAATCGCAACAGGATGATATCGAGACAATCGAGGGTTCCAGGACCTACATCAAGACCTTTGACCAGAAGAGCCTGCTGCAGGCTATGGGCAGTCCCAGCACGGTGCGCTATGTGGCCAGCTCCGAGTCGTCCAGCGAAATGCATTCATTGGACGAGACGGAGAGCTCCATTTTGCGCCGCTGTTTACTCGAATCCCAAAGGACACTGTTGGCCGAAAACGAGGAATATGCAGACGATCAAGAGCTTGAAACCGAAACAATTTGCCTGCATCTAGGAAGTCCTAGGAGTAGCAGTGGCAGCAACAATACCTCAAGCAACAGATCAAGCAACTCTCGCGAATCCGAGGACCAGGAGAAGAGCTCAACCACCTCCATGTGCAGCTGGGAGGAGGCCATGTCCCGGGGTGAGAGCTCCCAGGAGGAGACTCGCAATTTCAGTGTGCCTTCACTACACCTGGGTTCCCATCGGGGCTCGGCTCCGATGACCTATACCCGTCGCCTTCATCCGCAGCGACTGGAAAGGCCGCCGATGAGGCCTACGAGAACTGGCTGTCGGCCAAGCAACAGCAGGCCAAATATCGTCGCCAGGCGGAGCAAAAGTCCAAGGAGGAGCAACTGCAGCGAGCGGAGCTGCGTCAGCGGTTGTCCCAGGAGCGGTACGAGCAGTGGTGTCGCCAAAAGACACTGCAATCCCTTGCAGAACAGCAACACAAGCAACCAAAGTCTGCTCGAATCCCAGAGAGTAAATCCAATCCAGCAACCACAGATTCCCGCCTGCTGCAATGGGAGCGGGAAAAACTGAGGCTGGCGGAGAGAGGCGTCTCCAGCTGCGGAATGCCGAGCAACGGAGACAGCAGGAAAACCTAAAGCGTCAACAGCAGGCGGATCAAGCCTTCCAGCGATGGATGAGCCATGTGGATCAGCGACCCAAGCCAGTGCCCAGCAGTCAAGGAATCAACTCTCTGAGAGGCACCATCTCCGAACTCTACATCAATCCCAATCGGTGGGTGGACTGAGGCTGGGATTGGGGTCAACAGGACTCTTGAAAGGCGAGAGTGGTGTGGCAGCCTAGTTTCCTGAGCTGCGTAGTCAAAGTTTGAACCAAGTTAATCTATATATTTACCCATTTAACACTATTAAATAGCATATAAAACCATTTGTAGTGATTGATTTAATGACAAACTCGGGATGTAATAGACCCTTTGCTTTGTATTATATTAAACTCTGCTGACTATTCCAGAGTTCTGTAATCTAAACTTAACTTGGGTCAAAGGTATTTCCGTACTAATAGCTAATGCAAATGAACAGCAACAATCCGCCACATGCCATTAATGAGCAGATATAAGCCCAACCCACAAAGGAGCTGTATCTGAAGACTATTACATCACATCTGTGACCCCCGATGAACCAGCTTCTCTTGAGTAATTCCCTTACACACGAACACTTCAAATCAAAACATTTCCAGCCATTCATAGTGGCCTAGTATTGATATCCTTTTCACAGGACTGCAAAGAATATCCTTCTGGGTGTTTGCTTTGCCACTTTACTAGCAAGTGTTCAGTGCTCTTTCATTGGGATACAAGTAGGGATATGTGTGTCATGCCATGGGATAAGTGAAAAATATTATAGCAGTAGTAATAGATTGAAAAGTAAATTAAACTTTTATAAAATAACAACAAAAATGTTATTTTTTTATTATGATCTGTCATTCTTAATAAAATATCCATCACTAATTTTACTTCCTCCTCTTCATTTATGTTAAATTTCCAAGTCATTCATTTCATTGGTTTAACTTGGTACAGAAAGCGTCTCAAGTTAATAAAGCCATCATCGGACTGAAATGTTGGCGCCCTTGGCTGATTTATGTTTAATTAAATGGGCAAAGTTGTCCTTGCTCCGCTCTTATTTTTTAAGAGCAGCTAAAACTCTGAGAACTTCTCCACCTGTCCTCGCTTAGGTGAAACAATAAAAACGGGGCCAGGCCAGGTTCGCAGAGGGAAGAGCTGGACAGACAGGAAATAAATACAAAGTTATTTAATATGAAAATGGCGTGCAGGAAAAATTGTGTTATTATTTGTGCTTCGGTTGGCCCCCAGGCCACTTGGCCTTAAGCGATTTAGTTTCTTCGTTCTCCATTTTTTCTGGCAAACACATTCTTCAGGCTTGCAAGTTGGATGAGATTCGAGATGGAAATTGACAGCCGTGGCTCAAAGGAAGGAGAACATAATACATTTCACCGCAAGTGATGATACAATTATTCATTGCAAGGCCGCTCAGCAGCAGCTCGTAGCCAATTTAAATGTTAATCAAATTAAAGTATCTACCTGCTCTTATTAACCCGAAGCTGGGACTGCTGCTCCTGGACATTTCATCCAGTCGAAAAAAATCTGTTTGTAACATGAGTCGGAATGGAAAATAAAAAACAGGACATTCATTAATTATAGTGGTTCATATTTCTGGTATTCTAGTAAATAAATAAAAATTTAATTGAAATAGATAAAGATAAGGTTCTAAAGATAACAATAAGCCATAGTTGTTATATAATATATATGATAATCACTTTTGATCTCCACAAGTTGAGCTGTTGGAAAACTAATAAACTTACCCTTTGAAATACATATATCCATCCAGAATATATATGTATTTAAGCTGATTACTTTAAAAATCATTTTCTTAACTCCATCTATAAACACATTTAATCCCTTTTTAAACCTTTATAGTTTTATCTTTTTAAAAATCAACATTTTCTTTGCATGTATAGGGATATTCGTATTTCGATTTTCCTGTTTTCCTGGCCTGGCCATTTTTTAATAATTTAATCCACTGCAATTGAGCGTCATGGCATGCATTTCAAGCCTAGACAGATTTATCGAAAACACAAACAAAGAGAACGCATTCACTGGGTATGAAAGCTAAGAGTGTGGAAAACACGAGGGGCAAATATTTTGCGCAAACATTGATTGGCAATCGAGGGGGAGAGAGGTTGGGTGTGGGTGTGAGGGTTGAATTGGCCAACTGCATGTTAACACACACCCAGACATCTGTAAATTGGCACACCGTCCTCACCCCCCCGGCTCACCTCATCCCCACTGAAGTCAGGATGCACTCACTGCCAATGCAAGCTCCTCGAGTGTGTGACGAACACTGAGCTGGCAAAAAAGAAAAATGAAAAAAATGTGGAAAAGAAAAACACATCAGAGGTGAAAGGTGAAAGCGCGGGGCTTGTTTTATAAATGAAAATTCATTGAAAACTGATAGCGTGTGAAAAATAAACGAAATGAATAGTCGGTGGCAGAATGAAGTGTCACTGGTTGGAGTTAACCGAAGGCACGGATGCTCTATGATACATAAATACAAGATAAATAACAATAAATTTATTTAGAGAACATTTAAAATGCTTACAACATTTTTTATAAGTATCAAGCTTTAAGATACTATTTTCAAATTTTATAGAGCACTGCTTATAACTTGCTCAAAATATTTGAAATAGCTAAAGAATACTTTGGAATATCCCAAAGGGTATTTTAGAAACTTCGGCTATAGTCCTTGCCTTAATCCAGTGATACCATTTTGATTTCGAACGAAAATATGTCAACTACTAGACTTCCTTCAGTCAAGCCCCCGTGTCATAGTGCTTTTCCGGTGGCAATTAGCAACCAAAGCCGAAGCCAGATATTTTTACAAGCCATAACAAGCGGATATGCTATTAATTAAAATAAATTGCAAGCCCGTCGGCAAAAAGATGAATGGAATCGGCATTGAATAAAGTATGAAACACATAATAAAATATGTTATCTAAAAAGCAACGGGGAACTTTTTGAAATTGGAGTACTTCAGCCAAAATAAGTTATAACAATCTTTTTATATATCCATTTAAGAAATGTGTAAATATGTTATATGAGCTTTTGATATGTGTAATTATATTAATAATGTTAATTATATTATGAGTAATTATTTTAAATTAAATTTAATTAAGACTGTTAGTGTAAGACAAGGCTCTCAACGTGCTGTAAATTATAAAGAAAATAAAAGTGAAAAAACATTTTTATTTGATAATTATGGCCAATCTCCTTTATTGAACCAATAAAAAAATGGTAAATTTATCACAAAATTTGAGTTAATAAATAGCCATGCGGCAGCTGGGAAATATTTAGTGAAATATTTTCCATAGATTGACCAACACACAATATTGGTGGACATACATGGTGGCTCATGTATATATTCATACATTCCTACCACGAATCGCCACTCTGCGGGAAATAATAATTTAATTAGTCCACACACAGAGAAAAAATTCAAGGAAACTGCTTTATTAATTAATGATACATTATACTGAGAAAGTATATATAATGTTGTGTAAATATGGTGACCTATAAAGGCTTCTAAATTATATACTTAAGAGAAAACTCTAGGATTCTAGACTTTATTTCTGTCTCTGCAAAGGGTTCTGTAAAAGGGTTATGGCCTCTGAACAAAAATTTGTATGCATATCAAAAAAACCAATTATGGCAACATTTTGCTGTCCCCAATTCCTCTCAAACCCCCTTAAACCCTCCCTTTTCAGTTTCAGCCATCTATATAGCCTAGTGTGTATGTAGCTCTCAGTGTGTTTGGCATTTTCAATGGGGCTCGAGCATTAACGTTCAAAAGTCAATTAGTGGTTTTTATAAATGTGATTAAATTAAGTGACAATGTTGTTTACTGTTTCAAGCTTTTTGGTTTTTAGCTTCATTTTAATTGCCCCGCAAATGAGCTTAGGGAAAGAGCGGAAAATGGACAGTTGTTTCGGTATCGAAATATTGAACTTAAATTGGGCAAAAGAATATACAAAAATGTATCAGTCCAAGAGGATTTGAACCAAAATATAACATACACAATTTCAATTGGGAATTAGTAATTAATCCTTTTACAACTACATTAAATTTATGTTTATACTCTTAAAGTTTTATATGCAAAAATGTGATTGCTTTTAATAATTATTGTTGCTTATTGGTATACAAAGCAAAATTCATTTAATTAAATATTTAAAAAGGCTGCATACTTCCAATAAACATATATTTTATAACTTCTTGTTGTAAAAAGTAAATAAATCATTGACAATAATAAATTTGGCAAACTCAACATTTTAAAGCCTTGGCGTGTTGGTTTAAGTTTGAATGAAACCAAAGGCATTTTTTAATTTAGATATTTAGAAATGTATTTAAAAAATTGCTTTTCTCCTTAAGGCGAAATCCAAGCGTGTTTCAAGCATGAAACTTTTGTTTCAACTAAGTATTTTCCTTCGAATTTTCGTCTTTGTCCAGGGCAAGGACTGGCAGGCTTTTAAGCCTTTAAGCAAACACAAAAAACCATTTTCCACTTGCAACACATTCTCTGGCATACATACACACACACACACACATGTGGCAAGGCTTTTCAACTTGTTGTCTCTCTTAGCATTTTTTAAAATCAAAAAGCGACACAACGTCAAAACAATTTGTCGTCATTTAAAAGTCGACATTTAAATAAGAAAATGCAAATGCGAGGGCGCCCGCCAAGGCAGCAGCAGACTGTCCCTGCCCGCCTAAATGTATGCAATAATATTTTTTATGCGCACGAAAGACACCGCATACGTTTCGTTTGCATAAAATTAAGCCGCCGTCTCTGGCGGACAAGCAAACAGACTAGAGGCTAGAGCCCAATGTTCCACCTCTTCCTGGCCGAGCGTGACGAGCGCAGCTGTAAATATAAAGTGTCAGGGAAGGCACCACACCACACCACACCACACTTGGCACTGCAAAAACGTGTCTATTACAATTCAATTTGACAATAGGCGCACACAAAAGCCAGCCCGAGCAACAAACCAGCCATCCGACCGCACTAAGCCACCGTTCAGCAGAGTCCCCATCGCAAACATGCGGCACAGACCCACAACTGAGGCCCACAAAATCACAGAGACCCAAAAGTAGACTCACAGTACACTTCTTGGGAAAAGTCTGGGGAAAAGGATATATAGGAAAGAAAGATTCAAAAGGATCATAGATCCCTTACATAGTTCTTTATTGAAAGGATCACTAGGAGTCACTTTTTAGAGGCACTTAAGTCACTATAGATTTGTAAACTAATGACTAAAGTTATAATACTTTCCCCAAGATATATTCATATATATTTTCATAG